CCAGGGCTGCCTCTCACCTTCAGGTCCGCATCCATGGACCGGGCAGTAGCTCTTGGGGGTGCTACTAAGGAGTAATCGATCCCAATCTTGTCATCTATCCTGGCTGTGACTGCAAAGACAAGCAAGAGAGATGAGTAAGGAGATGGCCAGGAAAGCTGGGAACAGATGGCCTCCACTGGCATCTGGGCAGTGCCATGATTGGGCTTCCTGTTGCATCAGCTCACTACCAACTACCCCTCCGCTTGCTTCTCTTTAGAAGAGAAAAAAAAATTTTCCTCCTTGATATGTCTCAGCAATGCAAACCCTCTCCTGGACCTGAGGAGGGGCCTGGGTCCCCCAGCTAAAGTAGCCCGAGCCCCTGACAGTCCTTGGGCACAGATTCTGAAGGGATCTGCAGACAGACAGGGCACACAGTGATTTCTCTCTGCAGAGAATGTGCTCCCCAGCTCCCAGCCTGGGTGCCTGAACACCAGGATATTGGGAGTGGACACAAAGTAAAAGGTTCTTCATGGATGGGAAAAGCTAGGAAGAGCTGCTTCTAAACCCACTTACAGCCCCCCAGTACCTGGCAGCGTCTGGATGTACGTCTGGAGCTCGTTTTTCACAGACTTGGCCACATTGTCACACACCTACGGGACAGAAAGGCCACAAAGCTGAGCAGGGGCAGCCGGGTCACAGCCATGCTTCCTGCTCCATGACAAAGCCTGCTTAAGTGAATGAGCACACAGTGATGACTGCCTCCACTCACCAGGCAGCGCATTAAGTGTCCAAGACACAAGCAGGGTTTATACCTACAAGCATCTGCTTGCAACAATTTCCCTTCAGCACAGTTCAGCTCTGGGGAGACCCTTGGAAGGAATCTCATGTGGCCAATGCAGGAATGAACTGTGCTGAGCAGCCAGGGCATGGCCAAAAAAGAGCTACCGAGAGGATTAACCCATCCCACTGGGGCAGGAGCACTGACTACCCTGAAGCAGAGCATTGCCTCTGTCATCCACATGTGAAGCTCTGGAAATTTACTGCAGGGAACTGTCCTGCAGATGGCTGAGGAAATCTGCACAAGGTCCTTTCAATGTTTTCACTGTAACATCACAGCAACCACCGGCAGGATCTGTCATTTGTCTGACTGGGCATGCAGCCCACAGAGCTGACGGAGAGATGTAGCACTGCGGAGGGGCAGCGACCACACTGACAGAGATGAGGAGAAGGAGGCAACACAGCCATGGGCATGGCCTTAGTGACAGAAGGTTGCAGCTCTTCCTTGTCCCCAGTGATATTTTTCTGTCTGAGCTGGAAATGCTCCATTGCTGCCTGTGAGGATGTTGCTGCAGGCAGAAAAATGCAGTCCCAGTGACTGGGATTTCCCCATGACCCGCATTTCCCTGTGACCTGGATTTTCCTGTGACGGGGATCTCCCTGTGAATGGAGTCCCAGAACTGGGGGTACTAGAACTGCCCAAGCATTGCAACAGCAGCAGGAGGCAAACACAGGATGCCTGGCCTGGGTTGAGGCACAGCTGTGCCCAGGGTGCAGCTCAGTCCCTGCCCCTGCCCTCTCCTGCCCATTGCCCCTCACACCATGACTCCACAAAGACAATGAAGAATGTGTGTGGGGCAGAGGGGGCTTGGAGGAGGAGCAGAGGGCAGTGGGGTCCCTTCGCAGTCTCAAAGCTGTCCTCCTTCCAGGGGACAAAACAGCAGAAAAGGCCTCTGAGCCCCGGTGTTGCTCCTGCTGCCAGACTATCTGCAGCCACAGACCCTAGGGGAATTGGGAACGGTGTTGCATGGAATTGGGAATAGTGCCTGGGCAGGATGGGATCTGCTGCAGGAATGGGATTTGCCTGTTCTCCAGCTGCCTCCTTCCCAACCAAGGTTCACATCCAGAGAGGCTGTAACTCATGCCAGTTATCCTTGTAGTAATTATCGCTAACAGCTTGTTTCCATGTCTTGTTGCAGGTCTCCTGCATGTCAGTGTCTGTAGTAGGCAGCAGTACCAGAGCTCCCTGACCCCCTCAGTAAAACAAAACACCAAATGTCTGAAATCCAGGAATGAGAGTTCCCTGCAACTGCTCCCCAAAGCCCTCCAGAATACAGCTGGTTAAAGGACAGCTCTGATCAGGTTACAATGAGTTTGGCTGAGACATAAGATTTAAATAACTGACCACATGGAAAGAAAAGTCTTTGTTAATTAGGAACCAATTATGTTGGGCTTTGGCAAAGGCTCCAGGTTTCAAATTTATCCTGAGTCACTCTATGCTATGGAGCCTGCAACGCCCATTCCTTTGGTTTTACTGAATTGGCAATGTAGTTGTCGAGCCAGTGCTCTGGGTATAGTTACATTCCGACATCTGATCCTTACAGCACACCACCCACAAGTGAGGGCTAAAGACCACCAAAAAACCCAGGACATTACCCTCCACTGTTCACATACCTTGTTCTCCAAAATCTTTCGCAACCTGGACTCAATAACGCGGTGGAACAGGT